CTTTTACCAACTTGTACTTTCCAAAATGGCTCCTTGCCAATTAAAATTTTACAGGTAAGCTTGTGGAGAATTTTTAATAAACAGCATTGATAACAATTTTTCTTTATCTATATGCTTCCATGAAATATACCAAAATGTTTCTAAAGCTTCCATATGTTTAATATGTAAGGAATGGATTTATTTGTTTTTCAGCCATGAAGTACTTTTGCCATCTGTCCTGAAAGTACAAGACAGATAGCATGCATACATACATACATATATACATATATACATACATACCTGTTTTTAGTTAAAGAAGAAACAGGCCTTATCTTTGTACCTGGGTGTAAAAGTATGCACTTGCATCCAGCGGAGCTACACACTAATTCTCTTAACCAGAAAACATTTGTAAGAAAAACATTTTCGGATCATAGATAATTAAGACTGGCAAATGGTTATATGAGTTCAACCATGGTTTGGGGTGTACAGGCAGTCCCCAGGTTAAGAATGTCCGAGTTACGGACAACTCATATTTACGAACAGGCTGCCTATAACTAAAAATGGTGGCGGCGTTCTCCTTCCTGGAGCCGATGAACTGCTGAAGCCATGCAATGTTTTCATGAACCATTGAAGCTGCACATTTTTAATATACAGCCTGTTTTCAATGGTTCATGAAAACATTGCGTGGCTTCAGCAGTTCATCGGCTCCAGGAAGGAGAACACCATCCACCATTTTTAGTAACAGGCAGCCTGTTTGTAAGTACAAGTTTCGATTTACATACAAATTCGAGTTAAAGACTGGCTTAGGAATGGAACTCATTCTTAACCTGGGACTACCTATATAATCTATAAATGTTACAAAGTCAGTTTGATGAAGCTGAAGACACTGGGGCCTCAATGGGAAACTGCCTGAGATACCAGTATATCCAGGCTTATGTTCCATGAGGGAAGGTAGGTGGGATGGACATTTAATAAACAAATAAATGGTATACTAAAATTAGCTACAAAGTATTTGCTATACACACAACTCCAGTAGTTCTTTTGATCCACCCCTAGTAGTAACTAAGTTTCTTTTAACACTAAGAAATGGCATTCCTATGTTCTAAAGCAGACTTCTAAATTTGGAGGCCCCAACTAAAACCTAAAATATTTGCTGGATAACTAAACACTTGTAATAATATATCTGTTGAGTTATATTACGCTGTGTTACGTGATTTTGAAATACCTTTGTAAAACAAGACAAATGCAGAAAATATTTATATGGCAGCCAATCAAAAGAATGAAATACAGTGAAAGTATATTTCTGAAGTATTTCTTTTGAAGCAAAAGTATCATCATAGAAAAAGGGAGCAAACAGAGAAATTGGAGTGGAAATTTTAGGACATCTGAAATGTACAATCCAAAGATAAATCGTAATAATCTGACTAAATTGAAACTCATTTTTTTTCATTTTAGGGGGAAAACAGTATGATCAAAATCACCTAATTCTCAGTACAGTCAGTGAAGACAAACCAACACAGTGCTGGGAACCACTGATTGTTTAAAAGGCACAGATTGAGATGTAACCCAATACTTGAAAAGTGATATAGACAGTGGTTCTCCAACTAGCTTGATCATTTGAAGAAATAATAAATTAATATACGATCATCACTGCATCCAAGAGTAGTCCTGTATGGATGTCATGTCACCTAATTTCTATTACGTTTGTTAACTCTGCCCCATTTCATTCTTTTGCTCAAGCCCACTGCCCTCCATGCTCTGCAGGGGGGCAGGCCAAACCAGAAGTGAGGAAGCTGCTAAATACAGAGCTTACATGGCTAGCATGAGCTCCCTGCTTCAGATTCTCTCTTCTAACTCTTTGGGTGAAACACAAGAAAGATGACAGGTCTGGCATCCTCAGCCCTACTCTCTTTTGTCACACGAATGAAATTGTGTAAGAGTGTGTGTTACAGATATTCTGGGTTAAAAGCAAATCATATTTCTTTTCCGTCCTTTTCTTATTACAAACATTAAGATGCATCACAAGCAGCTATTTTATATCACTGAGACTACTAACACTTGAATATGCAATTCTAAATGTACAAATAAACCTTTTAAATGTTTTGATGCTCCAGGCTTAGTGCTAAAACAGAATTTACTATTGTACTGGAATATTTTGTAGTGAAAACTCATTGATAACTATTCCAACATCACCCCCCCCCTCCAAAATTAGCTATTTATGTAAAATCTAAATTGTTTCAAATGATTTTAAAATAAATGAAATTGTGATAAATGAATGCTTTAATGCCTAACCAACATTTGCTGCTGAGCTTTTCATCTGTTAAAATTGCCGATTATCTGCGTTGCTACCTTATTTTACACAGTTTGCAAGTATTATCTTTGTACATGGCAAGTATGCTCCTTCTATATTCTTAAATGATTTCTTTTAAAATCTGTAACAAATTATATGTGAATTGGGTAGCACAATTCTTGGTTTTTAACCAGCTGCATTGAGAAATGATCCCCTATGTCTTTGCTTTAAACTTTCTCTGGTACATAAGTTTTCTATTTCTGATTCCGTATTCAAGTAATTTCAGTGTTCATTAAGATTAGTTTTCCCCTGCTTTACACCCCATATTTGCATTCACATCCTCTAGTGCTATGCTGACCATTAACATGAAAGATTGTGGTCTCAAGGCTTGAACTCAGAAAAATCTACTCTGAATACCAGAATAATTCAAGTAGTTTCTTGAAGATCAATTATTTTAATGTTAAACCTGGCTGTACTTGCCCACAATTGCTTCTACAGTATAGCAAACCCTACTTTTAAAATAAAAAAATAGTGTATATGTAATAGTTGAATTTCAAAATATTTACCTGGCAGGTGAAGATTCTGCCAAAAACATTTGTAATATTTTCATCACTAGTGGGAAAGCTATCATACATTACTACTGAATAGAACACTGTTAATAAATCCCCATTTCTTCAGGAAGTCTAATCCAGCTGCTGCATTTTCCAAGGAAATTAGCAGTCAAAATAACCCCTGCATCAGTAACCCTCACTGTTCTTCCCAGTTCTATTACTCTATTATTTTTGCTCTTTCTGCTACCATGTTCACAAACCACTTGTAAATTGCTTATTGCCAGCAACTATCTTGGGGCATTGCCAGATGTTGCTTGAAGCCCATACAGGAAGCTAATTGAGTCCCCCCCCACACACACACACACAATAATCAACAGCATTGCACAAATCTGTCACTGCAGCAGGAGGTAGCCAAGCCTGGTGCATTGGAAAGTGCCTGGCTATGCCACACTGACAAATCTGTAGGGGCTCAATTAGCTTCCCACACAGATCTGAAGCCATATCTAGCAATGCCCTTAGGCTGCTCAGTCAAATGTCATGAAAATCTATAAGGATTTAACGGTGCTGCACTGATTTGTTTGGAAACCAGTATTGTGTTAATTTGCCATTGTTTATTAGGAAGTTATAATACTCGGTCCAAATGTTAAAGTGTTTACTTTGACCCCAATCTGCTGTATAACTCTGCAACAGTTAGCCATTAGCTGCTATATTTTTCTGGTGATATTTTAAAACTGCTCCTTATATCCATGATACAGAAAATATTTTAGGGTGTGGTATTTGCAGAAAATGTCTTTGTGTCCAAACCCTTGTATAAACATATGAATTTTACAAATAAATATTATTTAGATGAAATCAGTTTTGTTTCAAAGATATACTAAGAATTCTGACAAAATGGTCATCAATGTAGCAGCTGCTGCTATGCGGAATTCCAGCCATTCATTCTAAAGGTAATACACATGGTAATCATAAAATTGTAGAGTCCTTGGGATTCTCTGAGTTTGGTTTTCTTGCAAACGTTTCATTACCCAACTAGGTAACATCTTCAGTGCTAGAAGGGAGTGGGGTTTACTCTCTGTTTATATACAGTAGCTTGATCTGTCAGTGTTGGAGGCAGTGTTTTTTTTTTCCTTGGTAGTTCCTAGATTAGGCTGTTGTTTACTGCTTGTTTGTCTGGTGTTAATCCTGGTGTTAATTCCTGTTAATCTGGGTGTTGATTGCTGGCAAGGAGCTGTTCTGGTCTTTTTGTTTTCTTTTTATTGTCTCTTTTGAATGGTATGTAAATGTTGTTTACATTTATGTGCCTATGTGGCTGACTTGCCTGAATACCAAGCTTCCAGGAATTCCCTCAGGTTTTTGGATGTAATTTGGTCTAAGATGCTGACAGTTTCCCAGTTGAAACTATGGTTGTGTCTGTCCATGTGTCCTGGAAGCTTGGTATATTCCCTTCTAGCACTGAAGATGTTACCTAGTTGGGTAATGAAACATCTGCAAGAAAACAACCAAGCTCAGAGAACCCCGAGGACTCTACCGTTCAACCCTGAGCTACATATATTCTCTTCTACTGGAATCACAAAAATGATTACAAATAGAGAATCCATGGTACAGATGAACAAAGAAGCACATTTCAATTACCATGAACAACCATCATTTTACACACACCCCACATAAACTATCCGAACAGAATTCCCACCAAAGATTAAATCAGCAGGATGGACCAACCAATATGTCTCTCATATGTTTACAGGTACATGTACGTATTTCCCACAATTCCCACCCTGTAAGTGTCACTAATAATCATAGAACTAGGAGACTAATATACCTAAACACTTCTAAAGCTGCCAACGTTTTCAACTACATATAACTGCTGCCCAATGCAGCCATTCTACAAATACTTCTAAAGTTCCCCTACAACTTCATACTAATGCATGGTAAAGAATCACCTATTTATAGTTTCTGCACCCCCCCCCACTATTATTTAATAGCAATAAGGAACTGCGCAAAACCATTCTCTGAGTTTCAGTTGGGAAATGTTAAAAAGGGTAGATAGAAAGTGGTGTACTTCCAAAGAAAGTTAATTTCCTGTTTTGAAATAGGAATTCCTACGGCTGGGTAACAAAATATTTGTAGTATAGGAATTTCTAAGGAAACTAGTAATTTTTATAAAGAAATTTCACATAAACCAGGATTTCAGTGCTTTTTATTAATTACATTGATCACAGTTTTGCCACGTGCATGCCCTCTTTCCATCTTCTGAAAGGCCATGGGAACATCAGAAAATTCGAAGACTTGGTCAATAACTGGATGTATCTACAGGGGAGAAAAATACTGTTACTTAAAACTGCTACCAATTTCAGTATGCTTGTAATTGATCTGTATAACCTGCCTACCTCACAGAGGTGTCACTGAAGCTTTCAAGAGCCTTTCAACAGAACTCTGTAGCAATGAAATTCTCAGATGACAGAATGCCTGTCTATTGTCATACATGAAACTAATTATGAAAGCAATATTGTAGAGGATGTGAAAAAGAATAAGCAAAAAAACTAAATATACTTTCAATTACCCCCCCCCCCCTCTTTTCTAAAATCAACTTCTAAAATTAAATTTTATCTTCTCCTACCCTTTATTATTTCCAACCAATTTCAGTAGAT